AGAGTACCCATGCGAGGAGATAAAAACCATAAATCAATTATTGTTGCGGTACATAGTCGGTATATAAAGAATGATTTTATCGCAGCGGCAAAGAAATGTGCTCTAATTCCTAATAACATTGGATTGCAAGGGTCACACAGGATTTTTGTGAATTACCATTTAACTGCCGATAATAAAATGCTGCTAAATAAAACAAAAACACTAGCAAAAGACCGGGAGTTTTGCTTTACCTGGGTGAGAGGGTGCAAGAACTTCGTTCGCAAGAATCCGACATCGCCGGTTATTGTCATAAATTCGGAAACAGATTTAAGAAAGCTTTGATAACTTTTTTTAAAACTGGAGTATCATATAAAAATTCTAATAACTTACAAAAATATTTTTACATACTATAAATGTTACCAAGGGTTGACATGCGCTGGCTCACCAACTAGTTTTGCTTCAACGTCGTACAAGTTTGCATCTATCATTCGACTCATTTTTACTTGCTTACTGTTGCTTAGATGTTCATATCGGCTTGCCATTTGCTATTTATATTGTTGCGCTTATCGTTTTTACGCCTCTTTTATTTTTTTAACTGTTAAATATTGTGCCTATCATAAATTAACGTTCTTTATGCACTTAAAAATTATTCTATACCTAAGTATTATTGAAAAAAATTATGCCGATTAATATTTATTATCAGAACGCACGTGGACTACATACTAAAACTGCAACATTTTATAGAAACTTGTGTTTGTGTTCGTACGATGTTGTATGTATAACGGAATCGTGGTTAATAGATAACATTCATAATTGTGAATTATTTGATGACCGTTATGCTGTTTGGAGACGTGACCGGAACTATAGTGAATTAAAACAGACTTTGGGGGGTGGTATTTTAATAGCTGTTCGTAGGGAATTGGTTTCAGAGTTGAGGAGTGAATGGCTTTCTGATGTGGAGGATTTGTGGATTACCATCACAATTCCCAATCGAAACCCGAAGTGCATCTTTAAAATGCATATATGCACAGTGTACATATGTACTCAAAATATGGGTTATTCAATGGAACAACAGTTATCGAATTTTTCGGTTAATTTATTAAAAATAAATTTAGATAATCCCCTTGACAAGATTATCATTTAAGGTGATTTTAGTTAAATGGCCATCTAGTGATAACGATACGACTTTAAATCCAAGTAATTTACAGGGATCGCACCAAATACATTTTATTGAAACCCTCAATTTATGAAGTCTGATTCAATATAATTCCTTACTTAATTATAGTCATAACCGCTTGCTAGACTTAGTCTTTTTGAATAATAATGTCACCGTAAATAGTTGCAATAGTCTTTTAGTACAAGAAGACCTTCACCACCCTTCGCTGGTGGTGTCTGCAGATTTTGTCGAGTCACATAATATTAAATCACTTTCACATAGAAAATTTGCATATAATAATGGCGATTACCAGTTGATCTGCGCTAAACTTGATTCCATTGATTGGCAATTAGAGATTGGGAGGAGATCATTAGAGGGGGCTATTGAATTCTTATACGATACACTTTACAGCTTACGCAACACATACGTCACATCATAAGTTGTTACTCCTTCTCGAAAATATCCGCTTTGGTATAAATCGACTTTAATAAAACTGTTAAAAGAGAAATATAAATATCATAGGAAATATAAAAAAAAATGCTAATAAATATGACCGTGACTCGATTATTATATTAAGAGACCGGGCGCGAACCATGGAAAATAATATGTACACAGATTACATGAAAAACATAGAGAACTTCATAAGGCAAAATCCGCGAGCCTTTTGGTCATTTGTTAAAAATAAAAATCAATGTAATGCCTACCCGTCAATATTTTTATATGGTAATCGCGCATCAGATAAAGGTGAAGAAATATGCAATATGTTTGGAGAGTTTTTCTATTCTAATTTTCTTAGTAATACATCGGATAATACACCAATTCAAATTACGAACCAACAGCTCCCAACTTCAGGTACGGATATAGGTATAATTGAAGTGTTGGAGCGTGAAGTATTTAAATTATTGAAATCTTTAGAGCTCAATAAATCCGCAGGACCTGATCAAATTCCAGCAATTTTTATTATAAAATGTGCCCGTAGTCTTACTCTGCCATTATCTCTCATTTATCATCGCTCACTTAACGAAGACAACGTTCCTAATATTTGGAAATCTGTTTTTCGTCCGTTTGTCCTATTCATAAAAGTGGCCCCAGAAACAACATTGAAAATTACCGTCCCATCTCTAAATTGTGTCTTTTTGCTAAGATATTCGAAAAGATGATATACTCTCAACTTTATTCTGCATTAAAGCACGATTTCACTCCATAGCAACATGGTTTCTTATAAGGTCGCTCCACAACATCTAATTTTCTACTCTGCTCAGAATATTTAACTACGATTATGTCTGAACCTGCTCAAGTTGACGTAATATACACTGATATCCGCAAATATTTTGATCGCATAGACCATTCGGTCCTTCTAATGAAGCTCCAAATGTCTGGTATCAGAGGTAATCTGTTTCGGTAGTTTTCATCATATGTTCAAAATAGGCGCCAGACAGTAGTTCTATGTGGATATTCCTCACTACCAATGACCATTCCTTCAGGTGTGCCACAAGGGTCTTTACTGGGGCCTCTGCTCTTTAATATATTTGTAAACGACATATCCTCCTGTTTTCGTTACTCGAAAGTACTCCTGTATGCAGATGATATGAAAATTCTACATCTAATAAAATGTTCAAATGACGCACTCCAGTTTGAGTATTGTAATGTCAATAAATTGGAATTAAACTTATCAAAATGCTATGTTTCTTCATATACTCGTAAAACATCACCTATCGCATATAACTATATGCTTAATAATATATCTCTAACAAGAATTAATAATATGAAAGATTTGGGAGTAACATTCGATTTGAAATTAATATTTGATGAACATATAAATAACGTAGTTAAAAAGGCTTCTAGGGCCCTTGGTTTTGTATTACGGATATCGTCTCAATTTTGTAACATTAAAACTTAAAAAAATATATTGGGCATATGTACGCAGTCACCTTGAATACGCATCGCCAGTATGGAATCCTTGTTACGATGTTTACTCTTCGAGATTAGAAGGCATCCAGAGGAGGTTTTTACGGTTTCTACAGTTCAGAGCTAAAATTTACTTAACTTATTATTTAACAAGATGTCGAAAATTTCATTTACTCCCTCTGTACGAGCGTATAGAAATAGTAGATTTAACTTATTTTTACAAAATAGCAAATGGCATCATTGACTGTCCTGAATTGTTGGAATTAATTGGTCTCCGTATTAACACAGCTGCACTAAGAAATCCTAACCTTCTTCATGTTCCCTTAGTCCGATCCAATTATAGGTAAAACTCTTTTATTTTGAGAGCTAGCGCAATGTTCAACACTTTGATCAAGGCAAATGTTGACATCGATTTATTTAATACTTCATTAAACAAACTTAAAGGCCATTTAGTAGACAAATTTTTTGATAAGTGAATTGGTTCTCTTTTTTTTATCTGGAGCTATAAATATACATAAAATAATGAAATATAAAGTAAAATAAGTAATGCTTACAATCTTAAATGTTAACCTACTATAATTTTAATTTTGTTGCTTTTAGCTGTCGTCTGTTTTGTCTATTGTTCAATTACCTATAAGTGGAAACTTGTAATTGGCCGTCTTTATAGATATAACAAAAAAAACTATGTATAGTATAACCTAGCTTTAAGTTTTCCTAAGATACTAAACATAAAAAAATAAAATAAAATAAATGAAATTTCAATTGTGTTATTATTACAATAGCACCTATCTTTTTGGGTAATAACTGGACTCTATTACTATAACTCCGCTATCCTATCCGACTATCGCTGTGATAGCTAGACAGTTGAAATATTGTTTATATAATTCTGCTGCCACTATAACAACAAATATTAAAAAGGAATAAACTAAATATGTAAAACGAACTACCCCACAACAAACGTAATTATCTTGCGCTTTTTATAAATAATAGTAAAGAACCCTTCGTGAGTGAATCTGACTCGCACTTAGCCTATTTTTTAATAAAGATATTTCACGATCAATCCCCTTTCAAACATCAAGAACGAAACACTAGTACAAATATGAATGCCAAAAATTTACTTTTGGTTAGATAGAATATCCGACAAAAACTTGATGATTTTTCGTGGTACGGACACATGATCTTAAAGGCACATTTCTTTAAAATTACAGATTCCTAATTCAAACTTTTAATCATCTCTTACGTATCTAAAATTTTAACTATCAATGTTAAAATAAATGGATAGTTTATTAAACATTAATAAAGCATTACACTAACAAATAAGAAATAAATATCATTGTAATATTTACATGGCTTATATATTTGTTAATTTACTTATCACTTAATTATCTCAACGTTTATTCATGACGTGATCTTGCCATTTTATAGATAATAAGTAATCTTATTTACAATAATGATATTGCGATACAGAACAGAAAATTTGTTTTACTCAAAGAAACAATACATCAATATTCATATTATTTATTTGTCTTTTTTCCATTTAATAACTAAAGTAACAATATCTTAATTAACAATTCAAGTAGTTATTTTATATAACTCTTAATACAAAGATCCCTTAATCATTACCATTTAATGCTAAATTACACACGTAATAAGTTACAGGCTTTTTCCGATAATTAAGACTAATGACTCGTGGCCGAGGCTATCTAATTTCTTATGGGTACGAGAACCACGTAAAATAGATTAATTTAACAATAATCAATTTATGAACAGATTCTAGCTATAAGTATATATTGTTGTGATTTGTTTGTTGTCTCCGGTTTTGTTTAGAATGTGTTTAAAAAACTGTGAACTGGACAAAGTCATGAAGTCAATATTGTCAAGTGCCAACCAGTATCAATATAATAGGAAGGCTGGTTAACAATATATTAATTCATGACGCGAATGCCTTCACAGGCGCACTCCGACGCCGGCGCTGATTCAGTTGCGAACTGAGTGTTAATCTCTGATAACCGACCACCGAGATGCTTCTATAGCATTTAGTGTCTTGTGAATACTTCAGTGGTATTTAAATTAATTGTGAAACCATTTAATGGACTTGTATAGCAATGCAAGAAGGTGAGTAAAATATTTGAATAACTAAAATGTATCTCTCTTTCTTTTAATACTTTCCCAAAACTTAATTCAAATAATTTAGACCGCGTCACAACAATGAATTAATATAACCTTTTAGAAATAGTAATTGAGCTTAAGACAAGCAAAGATAATATTCACTTCAATAAAATAACTCATAAAACATAGTATTTATAAGAATATATTACGTTGTTAACAACAAAAAGTATTAATGACCTTAGCATCCGTATCCAATATTAATTCACGCTTGATATTGGCATTTTTCTAAATGTTTATACGAATCACTGGATTAATCAGGTAATGAAATATTTTTGATATAGTTAATGCACTCAAATTGCGTTTTACAGAAGTTGTTCAAGATAAAAAATATTTATAAATGATGCAACTTTACTTTTTAATATGTAATAATAATAGAAGTCTTGGTCATGCCTGCTGAATTTAATTAATATTATTAAACATACAATTTACAACAGAGTACTGTTATAATATGGTGATCTTTATGGCTACAAAACTTTATAAAAAATTTATTTCCTGTTTTATAAGACAAATGAATACTGAATTGTCTTAACATTAAAAAGTTATTATTTATTTTAGTTTTCCTAGCTGTTTCCCGTGATTTCACCCGCGTAATTCAAAGCCTGTGCCAAACGCGTATGATGTAACTTCCCACGGGTGAAATTGTTTTTAAAATGGGTCCAGTAGTTTCGGAGCCTATTCAATAGAAACAAACAATGAAATCTTTTTTATTTATAATAATAGTATAGATTTATTTTCTTCTAGAAAATAAGGGTGATGCTGAGATAAGTACTTTGATATCCCGGGTTCGATTTGCGGTCGGGTCAACGTAGAAAATTGATTTTTCTATATTGTCTGGTTTGAAAGTCTGGAAGATATGCGGCTATTTATAAACTTAAAGAAATATAAAGAAGATTGTCCCTAGATAGAACCAATAGAACTCGAGTACTTACCAACTTATGTACACCACTGGAACTCACCGGTGCACTGTCCACAATTAGTATGGTCTTCTGTCTGTAATTGTTTCTTATATTTGCGAAATTGTATTTGAAAAATATGTTAATTTATGCTCAATATATTTTTCAATCGTTGCGGTGAAAAAACATAAGACGAATAGCAAATTGTTTCTTTTTTCATAATGCCATTTTGGCCTTTTAAGCGGCCAGCGATGATGTTGCCGACGTATTTCCAACCTTTTTTTAGGTTCCTAGCGCCCGCGGCGGCGATACAGGACAGCAGACCCCCGAAAGCACATCAGATATACTTTTAGTGGTGCACTCCTAGGGAAACGAAAAGAAAATAAATTAGGAAGTATAGTTATAATGAAAGCGGCTTCAACACTACTGTCGACGGGTCTATTGCACTGCTCTCCGAAACCATCCCGAATAAAAAACATCGGCCATCAAGTCGTGGAAAAATCGGTGAACTTACTACACTCTAACTGACTGTTTGATACAGAAATAAAAGTGACGATCCTATTTCGAACAAAAAAATATGTGACCACCTCAGACCCGTAAATTGTCTAACAAATAAATAATTTTGAAAATCGTTCATCTGTTCGCGTTAAAATCGGCGAAGGTACATAAACATAAAAATTACTTTTTAATTTTGAATTCTGTTAAAAATATGAATGTACATTTAATCTCTTTGACTTGCGTGCAACTTTTGTTCGTGCTGGTGTCATGACCTAATAGCAGGATCACTGATCCATGAAGTTTCATTGAATTCTTGAAGAAGGACCTCGACATTTTATGTATGCTTAAGTTTATTATAATTTTCAATACACTTTTGATTACAAAAGTAAAAATATTTTTTGTTAATATTTTGATATATAAAAGAATCTTAATATTTGAAAAGAACGATATTGAAAAGGGTTTAAAGTTGAACTATGACGCTCTAGAAATATAATGAAAAACTATTACAATAAAACTACGTTCATAAATAAAAAATTATTGATCACAAAAAATATTAGATGACGCACTTTGTATCCAATGTATAAAAAAATAATATGACGTGCTTTGTAGAAGTAAAAAATGAAGAACCTGGCCCTATAATATGACCAATATCATTTTTTGCTTTTAACTTAATGAATATTTTCGTGTTTATTTAATGGTAGTAAACAAACTGTGGGTATTGACAAAAATCGGTCATCGAACTCTGTATATAGTAGGTATTATAAGCATCAACGTATTTCTAACATCTATATTACTTTTTATGTTCTTTGATAGTATCTAATAAAGAGAGAAAAAAAACTCAATGATGAACTTAACACAAAATTTTGTTACCCGTTTATTTTGAAATCGATCTATTAATTTCGGAGTCTATTCGATGCAAGCAAATAAACAAAAATACAAACTCCTTATGATATTAGTATAGATATAATTATTTAACATAGATAACTAAATTCAAAACCCGATTTTATATTTCAAGAAAGTTTTCTTGGATTTTTAAACTGATACTTCAATTTATTAAGTTATTTTGAATGACGATTTTTGTAGATAGATTTAATTTTCATGAGTGTATTATCATTTTTTATCCAAAAGTTCCCACGGAAAATACGCGGCCTGTTATAATTAAACCAATAAGTTTTTTCTACTACTCGATACGTTTTCTGACGTAGGACTGAAAAAGCAACTTTACATAGTAAATAATAACATTATAAAATATCCGTTACGAATTCAATACTGAGTCTCGACTTTTTTTTTTATAGCAACAAGCATTGTTTTTTCTCTTTGATTGATTTGTATTTTTTCTTCTTAATTATTCTCTAGAGATTCATAATAAGACCTTTTATATTATTTTTGTGTAAACCTTTTTGAAATAAATCGGTAAATGAAATAGATTTATTTATAATAGTTACCTTAGTATTGATAACCTTAGTATTGAACACATTAATATTTTATTTGGTAATATATAGCTATTGTCATCGCCAGCCTATTCATGGCCCCTTTACTGAGGCAAAGGCTTTCCTATTTAACGGAATCGTATTAAATCGAAATAGGGAGAAAAATGCACAATGCCGCCGGCCCAGTGCGGATTGGTGGGTGTAAACGACAACAGAGATCAACAGTTTAACGTGCATTCCAATGCACGTTGAAGTCGGAAACATAAAATTTCTGGTCACCCATCCTATTACTGGCCATTGCGAAAGTTGCTTAACTTTCGAATAGCAGTTCTAATGCTCTAATCACTGCACCATCAAGGATATTCTGATAAGAAACTCAAACTTGATCTTAAACTAAGTAAAATAAAAAAAACGATATTATTTCATTGTACCTTAGTGGCGAAGTGGATAAACGTTACGGCCAGCGATCGTTGTTGTTAAGCAACTTTTACTGCAAATGCACCAACGGCTTGTTGTTAAGCAACAAGCTGTTGGTCCTGACTGCATTTGTAGTCGTTAATATGTCATGGTCATGGTCAATCCTCCTTAACCATCAATAAGGAAAGCCTAAGCCTCTACAATGGGAATATAAAAGGGCTGACTATGATGATTATTTAATTCAACCTCTGCGCAGTAACAGCACCGCGATCGTCATAGAGTTCTAGGCTGTTGTAACAGAATAAATAGTACTGCAGAACTTATTTTTCTACCGCAAGCTTTATAAATCCTATTTGCAGAAAAATATACTCCATTCATTTCCACTAAAACGTGAACTTCATTCATATAGAAATAATACACACAGCAAATATATTTTTATTATTTATTCCCGAACTTAAAGAACAGATAAAAATCACGTCACCCTATGACTCAGCTGTCCGTCTGTTACCAAGATTTATCTCAAGAACCGTGATAGTTAGACTGTTAAAATTTTCACAGATGATGTATTTATATAATAATAATTTAGGAAATAATTGGTGACCCATACAAGAAACGTGATCTTTTTTGTTTTTTTTTTACAAGCTTTTATTTAGTATGTTAGTTTGCAAATCTTGGAACTAAAATTTAATCCACTTTCCAATTTTCGATAGATTTGAAATTTTGGATAGACATGTAAGTTAAATGACAATGCAATATTATGGTGTCAGCAAGCTGATATGATGTTGAAGTAGGAAGGTCATAGGACCTTAGCGATGAAATAACGCAATTGCATCGTGTTTGGGCTCGATAGAGTCTTTATGAGGACTTTAGTAGTAGGTCCTTTCCAGACCATGGTCTGGTAATTATGAAGCTGAAAGGTGGTCTTAGGAACTTAGCAATGAAATTACTCAACTGCATCGTGTTTGGGCTCTTTAGATCAGTCTTTATAAAAACAACAACATATATATAATTTACAGGAAAAACGCCTTGTAATACAGATGCTATGTCAGAAATTAGTAGAATGAGACTAACCTGAAAAGTAAAAAATAAAAATATTTAAAAAAAGTATTTTAAAAACAAGCTTTTTTTTTGTGTACGTAGAAATATGTGTATTTCCTCGTCTCCGATTTCATTAAGCTTTTCAAGTTAATTACTGTTAGAGAAAAATTTGATTGTAAATACTTTAAAATTATTATTTACGTTTAATTGCGCACAAGTAAAAGCCTATTTTTAAAAAACTATTTCCTGTTATATTTTGTATAGAATAATACAGATCCCTTTGACTCGCAGTGGGCCGGATTTTCGCACTGTTAAATTTAGAATAGAATTTTTTTCTAAAATGCCAAAATCTCACTTATTCAAATATTTTACTGAAACTTATTTACGATGGGAATATTTAAGACGATTATGTTTTATATTTCAATATTTACAGATAAGTTTGCAACTACCGACTACGATAAGAGAATCCATACAATATTCTGCAACAAAGAGGAGAAAACGTGAGTAAGTAAATATTTGTAATGATAAGATGTTCAAATATTCTTATGGTGCTTAAAATATATCAGTAACAATAGTCAAAGTGATGAGTGAACATGATACTCTCTTAAGAACAAGAGGTGATCTGAAGGTGATGAATAATTCAGTGTAAGATATATTAAACGATATCATTTTTCCTTTATAAAATACCAGTTAAATTCAGCTTTCCATCGAAAGGTTGGAAGTATATTGTTTTGTTTTGCTTTCACTGCATTTTTTGGTATTTACATTAAAGTATTGTCTATCTATCAGTTTATACATGAAGCGCGTAGTTAGCATTTTCGGTCTGTGACGTGGAACTCAAGCAATTTTCATTAGGACCGATAATAGGATGGGTGACCAATGTTTCAGAAGACACTTTAAGTGTATGTTAATGAAAGTAATTATCATCACCTGAATCAAACTGATTAGGCAATGGTGAGTCATGACCCATTGCGAACTGGTGGGTGTTAACGACTGCAGATGCAGCCAAAATCAATAGCTTAACGTGCTTTCCGAAGCAAAGAGGAGCTCGAGATAATAAATTTTTGATCACCCATCCTATAACCGGCCCTTCGAAGGTTGCTTAACAACCGTATCGCAGACCGAGCATACTAACCACTAAGCCGCCAAGTTCGCTACAAAATACTACTACTTTGTATTTTCTCAATATTATGTTTGAGATAGGGTAGCTCTTGAGAAACTATATTCTATTTTAAAATTTATAAAAACATGTTGAATTGGTATCTAGACGTTTATAATGTATCTCGTCATGACGCGATAGATTCTGATTGACAAAAATAACCTTAATGAAAGTTAAATTAATTTGAATGGGATATTTTGTATCTAAAATTAGCCTGTTAATAAACTGCATTTTTAAAAAGTTTCATTCACCCTCAGTTTTCTTGCAACACTATTTTTTAAGTAAATATGGTTGAAAATTGAATTTAATCAAGAAAAACAACTAACATTTGACTTTTATTCAGGATTTTTGGGAATATTTAGCGTCAGGTACATCTCTTTTGAGTGTCCAACAGTAATCAGCCAACATGTTCGGACTCCACTTGCCTTGGTACCGTTTTTCCATGTCGGATATATCCTGATGGAATCGCTCGCCGTGTTCATCACTAACGGCTCCCAAATTTTGAGGAAAAAAATCCAAATGAGAGTGTAAGAAGTGTATCTTGAGCGACATACTGCATCCCATATTCTTGTAAGCTGATAAGAGGTTGTTGACCAACTCTTCATAGTTTTCGGCCTTGTGGTTCCAAGAAAATTACAAACAATATTTCGAAAACATGTCCATGCAGATTTTTCGATCGGATTAAGTTTTTGTTCAAATTCTTTATCAGACAGTAGATCTCTAATTTGTGGTCCTACAAATATTCCCTCTTTTATTTTGGCATCGCTGATTTTTGGGAATTTCTGTTTCAACTAACAAAAACCATCTCCATTTCTGTCCATAGCTTTGACAAAGTTTTTTATGAGTCCGAGTTTGATGTGCAATGGAGGTAGCAATACATTAACGGAGGGTGAAGAACATTTCGTTGACCTGGGATAAGAGCGACTCGTTTAGGCCACTCCTTTTTAACATAGTGATTTTTTTTTATCTCGACTCACTCACAGATGAAACAACAAAATTTCGTATATCCAAGTTGTAATCCTAGTAAAATAGCAATTACTTTTAAGTCTCCACATATTTTCCAGGAGTATTGATTATATTTAATATGTTCAAGCAGTGACTTCATATTATCATATGATTCTTTCATTTCAGTAGCATGAGCGACCGGCACAGAAGGGTATTTATTACCATTATGTAACAGTACAGCTTTCAAGCTAACCTTTGACGAATCTATAAACAATCGCCAGTCGGATGTTTTATATTCAATCGTCAGCTCGGCCATAACTGAGGGAATGTCACTACAAAACACTAAATTGCCATCTTGAGAAAAAAAACTTGAGAAGTGCGTGTGTCGTTTTCTGTATACGGATATTCTGGTATTTTTTTCTAGTAAATTCCAATCATGAAGTCGGGAAGCCAAGAGTTCTGCCTGTCCTTTACTGAGATCCAAATCACGTACAAGGTCATTGTCGTCGTTTTGATTTACAAAATGAGATGCCGTATTTGAAATGCAAGTCGGATCGGAATCAGAATTCTCAGATACATTTTCTTCATCAATCACGTCATCCGTGTTTACTGGGGCTGAGGAGCAGGCAGATCATCACTGTGTGGGATAGGTCTTTGAGCAGATTGTAAATTCTGTAAATTCTGAAAAGATAGTTCATCTAGATTTGTGATTAATTCCTTTGATAGAAGTTTGGCAGAAATAACAATCTGATACATGTTCTTTCTGTTCAGACCATATCATTGGAACTGCAAACGGCATATGACGAGATCGTTTAGCCCATGATGTTAATAAACTAACACATTGTGCACAACAAACACTAGGAGTCCAGGTTTTGTCCAAATTTCGCACCGGAAAGCCAAAATAATTAAAATAACAGTTTTTAACTAATGGTGTCAAATTACGACGTTAACTTTTAATAGTAAGTTGACCGCAAATGTAACAAAAGTTATCAGGATGGTTTACATACACTCTGGGCATCTTATTACGATGTACAGAAACGACAATCACAAAAAAAACCGTTTTTATTTCAATAATTCAATATTAATTTATCGGAAACATACGTCGGTAAGCAAAATTCACGTAATCAATTTAGTTTATGTTTAACGAAAACTGAGGGTGATTGAACAAAACTAAGTATGAGGTTTATATGCGGGTAGGTAGTAGTGTTTAAAAAACCGACTCGATTTTGTTTAACAAAAATACTGTTTACCAGTGATAAACTCATGAGTGAACTTTATAATTTTATTTGTTTTATACTACTAGTTTAGTAAGTCGAAATAAAAACACTGAAAAATTAACTATCTAAGATACCGGATCTACGTTGTCATAAATTTTCTATAGAATACAGTTGTATCATTAAAGAAAATTCATAGTTTAATCATGAGTGGCATTTAGTTTCGTTAGTAGCCATGTCACGTATTCAGGGAACCTGAAACTTGAAACGGCCTCATAAGCGAACTATTGAAAGTTGAAGAAGTTTCTTATTTCAGAGGCCCCGAATTTTCACCATCCCTCAAAGTAAATAAAGAAAAATGTATAAAAGAAGAAGAAAGTATAAGGAAGACAACATGGTACACTAACTCGGTACCAGTGATTTATAACTATTTAAATTTATGTATTATAGGTAAGTTTTAATTTAGGAATATTTGTTTGATTAGAAATATTATAATTTAAGTATATATTTCTAAATATTCTAATTTCTATTTATAGTTTACAATTTTTGTAACATTATTTCTTTTAATATTAGCATTACGAAAAATTATGGATTCAAATACCATGTCCCGAAATGGTGATACCATGTCCCTGGGACTATTAAATTATAGAAATATATACTATTCTATAAGTTGAAATAATAAATTGAATACGTTTTTTGGTTTTAACTTCCAAGTATATAGATTCCAGTTTGATAATATAGGATATATATATAGAAACAAAACAATCAGTTGTGAGTTCAATGGCAATATTTAGAAAAAAATTAACAATGACTTTTGATATAAATCCATTATTACTTTTTATGATATATGTATGGTAGAAATTTTAATTTGAAATAAGCAGTGCCCTTTTACCAATTCTGTTACATTTGTACATGTGAAATTGTATATTTGTACAAAATAAATAAACAAATGGATTTCACTTAACTTACCGCAACGCCTAAAAACGTTACAAAGCAATATGTTGTTAAATATTATTGCAATAAATCTGAAAATCACTCAAGTAAGTCAAAATACTAAGAAATTACTATTCGTTGGTGAAACTTTTATAGTTTGCAAAAGAAGTAGTTATATGACACTTAATCAACTTAATATTATTTTTTGCGTACATCCATCTCATGAGCTACACGAAGTCCTAAATGAAAAAATATGAACCATTTTCATTGATCAATCATTGGTTGTTATTGGTTTATCATCATACAAACGTTTATATTAGTTATTTGCAATAATAATTTCCAAGCATAGATAATATATGCAAATTATTTTAATCAAAGGTCTTTTAATATGGGGACTACTGTGGTGTTCATGTGGAAACTCATGGAGCTGGGACGGTCAATGGTTCAGATTAGCTGCGGTGGCTATCACAGCATGGGCGAGCGGTGAAATTCTGCAGACACTCACTACACTACCACCATTACTTGCAGCGTTACTAACAGGAATCCTGGCAAGAAATATTGGTTTTCTAGATATGAACCAATATACAGATATAGATGCATTTTTAAGGTTTGTATATACAGTCAACCTTAATGTTTTGAGGGTAGAGTTTAAAATCAACTGGTGAAATTGTGGTAATCTGATATGGAGCCACATTTGCTTATAGTAGTGAATTTTTTTCTTTAATTTTATACACAATATTGTATTTGAAGTGCAATGAGTCTATTTAATTTCTCTGTGATCTGATATCTATTTTAAAGTGTTTCACAAAATTTGGAATCTAAGGAATTTAATTTAAACCCGTTCTTTAACATTAAAAGAAAAAAAACATGTTCTCTTATTTGTTTATATTAGAGTTTTATTATTTTAACCAAAACCGTTCCAGGAATTTAAACCTAAAACAAATGAAATCTCTAAGTACAAAATCTAAAAAACCAATGAAAGCTTGATACTTACAAATAATAATTCTAATAAATTTTTGAATATCCAATGTATTCAAAGTAAATGTCGTTTGTAAAAATAAAATTAAGGGATAGAAATACTCGGAAGATTTTTTCAGTCATATCATAACTACCATGAATGCGAATTTTATGCGAACTACAAAGCTAAGTTTTATTTGCAGAAAAATATACCCTGTTATAATTTTGGGAAAGGCGTCCCTTGGCTGGGATCTTAATTTCATGAAGACGAACTGGCGAAGACTTGCGACTCTTGGTACACTACCCTGGCTGGCTGAGGTGCTCGTGCTGGCTTTTTGTGTTCATCTCTATCTCGGATTCCCTTTGATTTGGGGTAAGCGCTGCAACTTCTTTATCAGGTTTATTAACCACAAAAATATAGAGAAGATAATTAAATTTATTAAAAATAAAAAATATCTCGGTCAAAATTTAGTTCTCGTGGCTCCTCGAATGTCTATATCTAATATAAAAGAGATATAACTTTTTTTAGTATTTAATAAAATACTTAATTTAGACGAAATTTTATTTGAATGATATATTTAAGGACGTCAATTTTACTATCGCACCTGTCTCATCGATCTTCGGTCTTTTTTCAAATTAGCAGCAGATTTAATAATTCTTATCTGAATCAATAAAAGATCTTTATGTATGTACTATCTTGTTTGTGCTTTTTTGAGATCAATAAATGTTTCTCCTTCTTCTTCTACTTCAGATCTAAATTATGAGATGGCTGACCAAAAAATTATTATCTCGAGCTACTCCGTGCTTCGAAGGCAATGTGCATTATTCCCATTTGCAGTTGTTAATACCCTCCAACCCGCATTAGGGCAGCGTGAAGGGTCATCGCCCATCCTCCTTGACCATCCATAAAGAAGGCCTAAGCCCCTATGTAAAAGGGGTAGGGTCGTAAAAAGGGCGATGATGATTAATGGCAGGTTACACCACTGTTATGGTGAAAGCTAGACTAACTATTCCTACCGTGAGCTAATTAATAAAATAAAAATATATCAATTGTAACGAAAACGGCGATATATGTTTTTTATGTATGTTCACCGATACTGCCACCAAATCGTGGACCGATTTTCAAAATTCTTCTTTTATTCAACTTTTATTAAAGGACTGAAGTGCTCCTATTCAAATTTTTTATCATAATCGAATCGGTGGTTTTGTTTTTATAACAAAAGAAAATACACTTTTCATCAGATATGATCTAAATTTTCAGATTATTTATTTATTTCAGCTAAAAATTGCATGTTTTGAATTCACTCAAAATTTGAAAGGAGGATTTTCTACATATGTTCAACGAATATGTATATTTTTATGTAAGTAGGTATAATCCGTTAGCGTACCGTACCGTTAACAAATAAACACTGGTTGAAGAGTACACTTATTGAGTTGGGTTGTGTTGAGATCACCCACAATTTTTGTTATGTTTTTGTAGTTTTCTATTGTTATTGTTTGTTATGGTTGACTAAACTGATTTCGTTAAAAATAAATATATATGTAATGTAATAAAACATAGGTATATCTAATATATCTTATTTCATAATTACTTTTGACGATGTTTTAAAAAATCGTCCTTTCTTTTTGTTATAGCGTTCCTACAAAGTAAATATTATTTCTTCATATTTATAATGTTTTGCATATACCTTATAATATACAAACTGGCCTTTTTCAAAAATTCTTGCAATAAATTAACAAACTAAACGTTATTAAAATATTTATAATAATATCTTGGGGATTGATCATAAATATTTCAATTAATAAATATATTGATATAAATATTAATAAATAATATATCTCTCGCAGTTTGTGCTCCATATACTTTTTATTTTCATATGACTTCATGCGGGTGTCATTAGACGAAGTTCCAGCACATTAGCAATTAATAGGTATGTTCATTAATTTCTTCTTGACTGGTGAACCAATTTATATTAAACTTACTGTTTCTTAAAGTTTAAAGTCGGTTCTATTTTGAAAAGTAATTTCTAAATAATATCTAAAATATAACTTTTACTTTTCAATAACGTTACTTAGTAATTTATTGTAGAAAAAAAAAATCATAACTTCATATATTAGCTGAAAGTCTATTTCGACATTGTTTACTTAATTAGTAATTGCTTTTAAATATCCTCGCACCAACTCTTTTGCGAGTGTAAAGCGTCACAGAACTCGTGATAAGCTCCCACCTCCAATAATCCAAACGAAATAAAATTTTACTTATACGGGAACAAAGCCACAACAGAGCTCGCGACTCGATACAATGGCAATTCAATAAATATCGACACGGAATTCGCAGTCAAAAGATTTTTAATGCACTTCCGACGTGTGGCAACAACACTTTAAAAGCTACCGGGAGAACTTATGAATAAAACATTAAAATTTTTATTTTAAATTATTGCGCCAGCTGAAATTTTGATGTAAAATTTTACTTAGAAATTTTACCATTAAATGAGGAAGGTTGTTTTTTCATCACCGAGAATAACTGTTACATATAGGAAGGATACTTAACAGGCTTTCCCTATGCATGGTTAAGGAAGATGGACCCTGCACGCTGGCCCAATGCGGATTGATGTATTAACGACTACAAATGCTGCCAGAACCAACAAGCTTAACATGCCTGTCGCTATTTATTATGTTATAGTATTTAACATTTTTGTAATTAACTAACTTTCCGCCAGCGGCTTCGCCCGCGTTTTCCCTGTGGAACTGCTTATTTTACAGGTTTATTTGGATGTAGATTCATATCGCGACACGGATATAATTACAATAACAAATTTATTAGTAAACAATGGTTACTATGGCAAGGTTTTAATTCCCCGTCCAAATTGTTACTCCTATCTTCATCCTTTATTTGCAATGTTTCAGGATGAAATATAGCCTATGTTCACCGCATATGATATAGCTTCCTGTAGCTGAAAATTTTTTATAATCTGTCCAATAATTTCGAATCCTATTCTATACAAAAAAACTTTATAATATTATTATAGAAAGTATAGATAGAATATTTTACATTATTACGAGTATATTTGATCAATTTTGCGTTTACAATGCTGTACTGAAAAATGTTCATAATAATAAAAATACTTTAATAAACTACTTTATCTTTAACACTCAGAGATGGATTTTTAAGCATTTTTTCATTAAGACCACATTTCATATTATTTAATATCAAGAATTAACATCATTAAAATAATTGTTTTTTAATCACACCTTAATTTACACGGACCAAACTCCAGGGCGGAAACTTTTAAACTAAAGTACCGGTTTTGTTTTACAGATATCCTTTTTTTTATTTATTTTTCGCGTTGATTTTACTTTGTACTGGCAGAACTTTAATTAAAACAAGACTCTAATTGAAACATAGTGCCTGTCGCCTTCAGTCTATGAAGCTAATGTAGAATGGTTCGCAGTTCTACAAAAATGTAACGAATTAAATTAAAACTTTGTTAGAGCAAAATATTAATCTCAAAATCTTAAATATTAATAATATATACCAGTTTTGAAATTTTACGCTTTGAATACTTATTATGGTACTAATAAAATAAAATATAAAGACTTATAATTTAAGAGGAAAGATTTCATTGTTTGTTTGAATCGAATACTCGACTGATTGAAATAATTTTTAAAATCTAAATCTAAAGTTTATAATTTAATATTTTCTCTAGTCTTGTTGTTTATTTATATGACGATATTTATAACTTATCTCATTGGTAAAAATATCTATGGTCAAAAGTGTATTCACGCAGCGAAATGTATCCTTCAAAATTAATATTTATATATCGTCAATTCTTAAACATTAATCTAGATGAATAATTAATATTTTCATAGTGTATATGTATATATATATTTCAATGTAGAGTTAACAAAATGTATATATTATTTTGGACAATTTCCGGGTATAACAAGATAACAAGGTTATCATAAGTAGGGGGTGTTACATTTTTTTTTTTATTTCTTATACAATAAGGAACAAAATATTCAAATTTGTGCACTGTTTACATTTTTTCTTGTATAGATTAATGCTGTTTTCTTTTCTGGTCGGGTCAATGTAGAAAATTAACTTTTTTATATTGTCTCAGGTCTGGGTGTTGTGGTAACTTCAAGTCAAATCAAATTCATTATTTAATAGAGATGTATGACACTCCACACATAATACATAAAAAACATACAAAAGAAAAGTGTCCTTCCAGTCCACCGTCTATTAATGTCCCCACTTCTGGGCTCAGGCCTTCCCCATCGAATTGCATAGGAAGAATAGGCCATAATCCACCACGCGGCCCCAGTGTGGATTGATGATTATTAACGACTGCAAATGCAGCCGGGACCAATACCACAACGTATCTTCCGAAGCACAGAGGAGTTCGAGATAATAAATTTTTGGTCACCCATCCTATCGCAGACCATCGAGCTGTCTAATATGTAATTATTTGTCAGGTTTCCTTCTCGGTTCGGTATACGCATCAGTGTCATGCGCTGTGGTGATGCCCGCGGTGACACGCATCAGCGCGGCCGCCGGCTGCACACGGAACTGGTCACAGCTGGTGTGCACCGCCGGCGGGACAGACACCGCGCTCAGTGTTGGTGTCTACGGGCTCATCTACAGCTTTATATTTTACGACACCGATGACACTTACAGATATACCAAAGTACGTACCCCGTGCCTGATGTTAAAGCATGTACCTCACTATTTGTCTCCTCGTATACGTAGAGCATAATCAAAGTTGTTATCTCGAATATATGTAAATGCGTATGTTTTTTTATCTGTATATCTAACATATATATTTTCCTACTCTACGTAATAGAAATTTTGCTTACTTTTTGATGCACGTTAAACAACCCCTCAGTTATGGTCCAACGTACAGCCTGGAAGAAATTACTTTTTAGCGATATTGCCGCCTATTGTACTGTTAAATTATGCTCGTATTCATGTTTCTCTTTGTGGTGTACAATAAAGTGTTAATTCATTTATACATTTATGGAATCACATTATAGCAGAGAGCCAGAGATGCGACCTATGTTTCCAGCCATAACTCTCGCCATAGGGTACCACATCTTAGCAATGTTATAGCGATTTTTGTTTCATTTAACTTTTTTTACACACAAATTAATGGTGACAGATATAGGACTTCAAGTAGATAGTACAATGTCGATTATTATATGAACATTAACAGAATTGCCTTACAGAACCAAATAGCCGAAAGAACTCTTGATAAATTCTGATTTCCCAATTGATGATTAATCTTTAACGGAGATTGTGCTATCCTGCTGATGTTATAAAAGTAAAAATTTAGATATTCAAACACCTTAAAGTTGCATAAAGAAGACTATCTTCAAATCCACTCAAATAAAATAATGGTCTGAAGTCTAATAATAAATATTTTGTTTTTATTCGTCGCTTCTTACTGTCTATGTTGAGATCTCGTAAACCATACATTTTAATATGGTTTTATCATTATATAGAGTGATTGAAGAGGATGGTCTATATGTATAATACAAGACTACGCGGGCTAAGCCGCTGACAGAAATGTAGTATTTAATAATTGTAGCTAACCTTTTTAACAGAATAACAAGCTGTATATATTAATATTCCATCTTAATAAAATTCCATTTAAACTTCTTACAAGTTTTGAATTTTTCGAGAAAAGACAATTCATTTCATCAATATAATTAATATAAGCATATTATATTGCTATGGGAAATATTTAAAAGTCTGATAACTTGAATGCTCCTTCAACCTCGATTTAGCGTAAAAGATACATTTGAAATTCATTCAAATTGAAAGTAATTTTTAAAGCGGCTCCAATCCAAGGACAGATCTTAATGTTCGCCGGATAGAACGATCACGGAAATTCATCAATGTCAAAGTTAAGCTAAGTAGAAAGCCAGAACAATTAGTTGTATGATAGAAACAATCCACTAAATATAAAGACGAATCAACAACGAATTAACTACATATATATTACAATAAAGGATTAGTCATGTGAGGTAGAATTACGCACTTTCTGTTTAAATCTCTGAATTTTGTTATTTATTTTACTTAATAGTTAATTATGTAAGTTACAGTTAAAACCAATTTTTATATATAACAACTTTTCCTCAGTTAAAATTAGTTTTTACTAAATGCTTTGCTAAAACTACAATTAACGAATGCTCAAAATTGTATTCAGTTAAAACTAGTTCTTACTAGACTTATAAAAATTGATTAGACCAATTTCATAGTTTTGTATAACCTGAGGCGTTGTCGCTGTATAGAATTTGATCAATAAAAAACTTACATGGCACTCGCCGGCAGCTGCGGCGGCACGCTCGCTTCGCTTGCTCGGCTCGCTTTTTGTTTTGAACACAGTTCTAACCCAACCTAACCCATTGATTGTTTCTTTCTTTGATGTGATTCAATTCGAAACTATATATTATTTGAAATCCCAAATTAGTTTCTCTAGCACCAGTTTTAATTAAAACTCAATGTGACAAGTACTTGTATCTGAAAATCAAATATATCAATAGTAAATTCTAGTTTTCACTAGGTACTACTAGTTTAAACAAAAAAATTAGAAAAAACTAGTTATAACTAGGAAGAACGCGTTATATATCATTTATTTGTGGAATGGACTCATCGAGATATTTGATATCCATATTTCTCATACATTCTCTATTATAAATATTTTTATTTTAAATAGAGCCAATGTCACTACGGATGATATAAAATTTAATGACACTATATAATCATACCTGTTAAGTCTTTTAAAAGATATAATTGAATAAAAAATTCACATTTTGGCATACAAGTAAAAGGGTAAGTCGGATGAGTAAAGTTTACGATAATCGGATATCGTATCTTGCATCTGAAGAGGTGCTGAGGGATTAAGCTTGATCTACCTTGTTTTAAAAGATGTAATGAATTAATCGCTATGCAGACATTTAGTCGGTATGCACACTTTGCTTACAGGACTCTAGTAGATAGCGTAATGATTACGCATCGGTTGTCGATTACGGAACTTAAGCAAGTTTCGCAGACTTCAGGTGGATGAGCAAAATTTTATTGGCTACACTACCTTCATGCAGACTACCTTCGTAAACCTTTTGTTGTTGGCTTCATCTACAGACATAAATATCAACAAATCCTAGCTGATGATTAATCCGTTTCTTACTATTGTTCTCTTAAGGCTAGCAGTGGGAATGTGGATAGTAATAACTTAAAAGCGACATACAATATCATTTATTTCGTAAAACTATGCTTCGTACTCTGAAGCATTAAATAAAATGTACATTAACTATAATTGTAAGCTAACTTTCTGCCGGCAGCTTCGCCCACGAAGTATTAGATGTATGTATGCTGTATTAGACAGTTAAACCATACCCTTGATTTACTTTGTATATAGAAGAAAAATGCAATAAAAGCCATTGTGAAGCTTAAAAGATCTCAGCGTACAGACAGTGAAAAGTGACTTTGTTTAATACTACGCATAGATTCATATTACGGAAATCCGGCATTGCTCAAAATCTATTCCAGTGAATTGACGAGCAAACTGCTAAACCCTCTCCTATTATAACTTCGTGCGGGTATTGGTGGAAAAGTTCGAATCCACAACTTTTACGGGAGGTAGTGTGTAAGCTTGTCGACAAGCATGTATGTTTAGAGACTGTAGATAATAACCCATATTGACTGCGGTCTTTTTTTAACTAAAATAAATAAACCGTTTTAAAAATAACTATTATAGGTATATCACTTTTAAATTAGAAGTCGGTTCTATTTTTTTGAAAAATGTTTTTATTTTATTATTTTTAGTGATACTTATAAAAGTATTTATATATAAAGGTATTAAATATCTATAAAAACAATAATATTGACAATATTATAGACAATTGAATATATATAAATTGAATATAATATTGACAAGGATAATTCGCTTTAAAAATAATGTATTCATTTAACCATGCTGAGTATAAAAAAAAATACAGTGGAATCAAAAACCTCCTCCTTTTCAAAGTCGTTTAAAAATAAGAGCTGGTATTAAATCTGACGTCTATGCACTTCTCTATTTTAATGACTCTTTTTGGAGGTTGACTATAAAACTTTCATTACTTTCTCAGACAGTTTTCAAGAAGAGCCTTAAAACTTGAGATATATGTATAGCAAGAGGCACTGTACTGAGGCCATGACAAAAAGTTTTGCGAACTATTTTCAATCGCTTAGAAATCCGACGCCATTATAACTTTACTCTACTACTGAAAATGCTACGAAAAACTATAGCCCCGAGCTTTTGCGAGCTCGTCCTGGCTGTTCGTGAGAAACACTAGACTTTTCTAAAATATTTTTATTATATGATGTAATAAAAATATATTACGCAATTTTTCTTTTATCTGTGCTATAAGACGTTGTTTCGTCTCTAATTTCAAGATTCTGTGATCACGGGAAGTGTTGATTTCCTTGGGAGTCTCGAAAATTGGCAAAATATTGTAGAATAAACGACTGTATCTTTTGATGGCGTTGGCTTAGAAATTTGATTTGTACACAGCTCCAAGGGACAGTAGATCTGAGTTTTTGGTATATTTCATCTTACGCGTTCCCGAGGAAAAGGATGGATAGACAGCAAAGTCAGCCTAGAAGGGTTCCGTTTTATTCGTTTCGAGTTGCGGAACCCTAAGAAAAGACAAAAAAAGGCATTAATTATTAAAGGATAATGAAACCAGCAATGTTTATTTTATGATAACTTTGTAAAACGATGTTAGTTAATTAAATAAAACTGCTCAACAAACTTATGGCTTACCTGTAACTTATTACATATTGCCTTGGCTCACTTACATGTAATTGTTGTTACATGCTGAAAATATAAAGAAAATTACATATTACTTTAACATATATAAGCCATCTAGTTAAATCACCAATTTCTCATATGTAAATTGTTTGTCCTTGGCTTTTATTCTAATGTTGAATGAAACATCGGGTTTTTTATAAGAATGACTGATTGTCATCTTTTCCCAAGATAATGGATTATATGATTTGAGGATATGATTGCAGTCTACTTCAATATAACACTGCAATCATAGAAAGCTATCGTCTACCTGTGCGTAATGCAGATCTTATGACAATATAATTAATGAACCTAAAGCTATCAATAGAAGGTCCTCTCACTTAGCTTCCACCAAATTACTTACAAAGCAAAAAAAATTACTAAATAAGTTAATTGAATAAAAAATCTCGTTTTTCATTGACAGCTGAAGGTGTTATTTTCGTAATAATAATAAATACATTTGTATTATAAAAATCTGTTACAACAAAGGTACCTACCACAAAGCCTGACCTGAGACAATTCATTTTCTAATTTGACCCGACTGGGAATGACATAATGAGTTTAATGGCGCAGTGATTAGGTTTGCTATACGGTTTTTGAGCAACTTTCGCAAGGGCTGGTCATAGTATGGGTAACTAAAAAAATATTATTTCGCGCTCCAACGCGTTTCGGAAGGAACGTTTAGCCATCGGTTCCGACAACTGTAGTAATTAACACCCACAAATTCGCACTGGGCTATTCTCCCTATTCGATTCATTAATAGGCTGGTGATAATGTTATAGGAATAGCATCAGAGATGATGACACCTTGAAATTAATGAAGATAGTATGCTTTAAACAAAAATCAATGTGTTTTTCAAGGCTGGACTTACGCTTTTTGCCGGCGTCGCTCTCGGAATCATCATGGGCACCGTGGCCGGAGTTCTCCCCAACTCCCGCGACTTCTATGTAACCGAATTGCGAATAATAATGGTGGTAGCTGGCGGACTACTCGCCAATATGCTGACGTCATTATTTGGATGGGGTGGCGTTGGTGAGTTTTTTATGAAGTACAAATTTTTCGTTGTAGCCTTTCTTATCACAATTTTTATTGAATCCGATCAAAGGTGTTTTCGCCTAAATCTCTAGCTATAGAATATGTAAGAACACAGCATAAGTGTATTTAGCTGACTTAATATTTCTAGCTTGCGTCGGAGCACACTAGCTCGCGCTAGCCAATCCTTCCTCCTTGTTAAATGCACACAAATAATAGACAAAGACCCTTATAATATATGTATATCTTTTATAGACTTGTGAACAATATAAGTAATTTCAGTGACAAACTTGGTTTACACTTACAACCTTCTGATAGGAGTATATAATCCGGACGTTCTCACATCTATGTACGGACAGATATGACTACTACTTTCACTACTTTAATATGCTTTAGCTGGACGAACGAACGATAAAGAATGATGATTATGGATTTATCCACCAAAAGACATGTCAAAGTAGTAACATGAAACGAAATTTCGTCATAACATCGCTAGGATAGCGTATCCTATTGCTAGAATAAAGGCTAGAGAGTTAGGCGGTCGCAACCTACCTCTGGATTTTTGACTGACTTCAAAAATGAGGAGGTTCTCTTGTTGCGTTAGAAACAGTATCGCATGAATTATAAAGCTATGCTTTAAGATTTTTCTGCTAAAAAATGTTTCTATTCTTGATTTACGCTATTCTCTGCATCCACTTTCATTTCTATAGCAGAACGTTGTGCCTATCTTTTTTAGTCTTTTTTATTGCTACTAATTTTAAATAAATATAGCCCGGCGTTCCAGCGCCTGAACTTTGCACTGGGTACTGAGTTGTGTATACCCTTAGTACTTCAACATACTGAAATATCAAGCTTTAGAAAGCTCTTGCACTTTTTTGTCACAGATTCTCAGTCTATTACTTTTAGGTGGAGTAGCAGTGCTAGTGTGTAACGCTACAGCAGCTTCATTCTGGTTAAAAGATGGATGGAAGTTGAATAACAATCCTGCTTCTACTGCCTACCGTGTCATGTGGTCTACGCTAGAGCCTATGGTGTTCGCTTACTCAGGCACTTTTTTTGAGGTATGGTATTATTTTTATTTATATAACTATGGTAGATAGAATATACAAAATAAATAATACAAAAAATAAATAAATCTGTAAATTAAAAAATTCTTATGCGTTTAAATTAATTACAAAAAATACACATTTTGTAATAATTTGACGTGCTGCCGCGTATATAGAGTGCTAAAAAAATCCAACTGCGTGAAAACAAAAGAAAGAAGTAAAAAAAATATAGTTACTTTCACTAAACAGAAAAAACAAGTCTGTAGTTTGGAATTTTATAAAGTACCATTGAAGAACTGCCTCATTGAAATAGTTTTAAATTCTATACATACATAAAACATATCATAAATTAAAAAGTAGAATAGAATGATCAATAGTCGGGTCCCATTCAAATTATACAGGGCTCCGTTGATTGGTCAAAAGGGATGGGTCCTGACTGGTACTGAAAGTAATTATATATTTTTTTCACTTCTTTCTTTTGTTTTCACGCACTCGGGTTTTTTGTTTCTTATAATCATTTTTTTTGTTAATACTCATTGACTTCGTTATTAGGACTATACGACGGTCAATTTCGCAACCTTGTCATTTCATTGAGGGAGTTTATATCGTGAGGATTATTAAGTAAGTTTCGGTGGTCTAAACTACTGATTATTATTAATCCCTCTAAAGACCTCACGCGGCTCATACCCTTGATCTTTGGCAAAAATTCGCGAACTTAAGTCAATCACAGCTCGATCCAAAGTAGTTCTTGGCACTTGAAATCTTAATAAATTGTGAACTATATCTAAAAACGGTCTTATCACACTTCTAATATTTTTGAAAGAATTTTGTTTACTGTTGTGTGTTTAGTGACACTCGCAAGATAAAGACAAATCCATTGACGTTTAAATCATCAAAATTGGCCAAGCCGTTTGGTCTCTACAATGCCATATAAGAACAAATAAACATACGCTCAGTTGCACAAACGTCTAGTAAGTTTTAATGACGCCTTTAGGCTCTAATGAATGTCAAATTTGTATGGGTAATATCGCCTTAAACTAATGATAATTTTAATGCATGTTTATGCAACTGGCTGATAGACTCATAAAGACTCCTTTGCGTTGCTCAGTGGAGTAAAAAATAGATAACAGGTAGGTTTTATGACGTTTTTTTATTAATATTGAAAAAACATTGTTACATATAATTATCTTGTCAATGAGGTGATTGATGATTCTTAATGATATTTTTTGAAGAGATTCTAGAACTTTATTTAATTATCTCTTAACTGAACTCTTCATCAGCAAAGCGATTCCGTAAAAATCCGTATTCACTTCGAAAGCGAATCCGTTTAACTTATATTAGTGTAGAAATTCTATTGATTTAATTTTTTGTATAAAAATAAAAATCAAGATTGATTGATTCATGCGTGTCTCAGATATTCTATCCCCATGTCATTTCGAAACCCACTTCACTTATGGATGCCACGAAACATGAATACCAATTCAAGGTTAAGCGGATGTCACTTTGCAAATTGATAATTCAAATAGTTGAATGACAGTGTCATACTATTTTTTGAACATATGTGTCTTGTTGACATGACATATATCCGTTTTCACTAAACTTAGGAGATGCCCAAATCTGTCGTCTAAATATTTAGGAATCGCATAAGATGAAAATGTATTTCACCAATGACTAAGAATCACCAAATGACATTAAGGGTATGTTCCGATATACACTGCGACCACTGAACAGTATGACGTCAATTTAGTATACTGGAAGCCCGTTCCTTTATAGCTAGTTATACTGGTGACTTTTTAAAACGGAACGCAGTCCAGTATACTGTTAATCCTATTTTTTGGCGCCATTTTCAAATTTGTTAATGCAAGGTGAATATAAATAAAGATTCCCTCTTTTCAAAAGAAAATTGGAAAATTGTATAAAAAAATTATTTATCAATTAAATCCATCTTATAATAAACGTAAGTATTTTTTTTTTGTTTATTTAGAAACTTATCATTTTCTGATTCTGTTTCGACTGATCACGTGATCAAAAGCACTGCGAGCACCTTACCTCGAAATCTCCAGTGCTCACAGTACAAATATGGCGGCAATTTATGACGTCATAAATTTCCCTAGGGTACTGTAGCAGTGTACTGGCAGTCCATAACGGAACGAATTTTTAGCAGTAAGACCACAGCGCAGTGCTCGCAGTGTATATCGGAACATACCTCGGATAAGTATCGTAATGTATAAAATAATGATATGCGTTATGCGATACCTTACGTGCGCTTAGCATTTGCGGAATATGACAGATAACAAATATGTCAAGAGATAAAAGAAAAAAATATTATTTACAATTTAACTAAACTACTTAGGACACGTAAGACGAGGCGTCTCCTTGTTAAGCTATGCCTTGTTCTCGGTTAGTGAAAACGGGTGTTTAAAAAACATTAATTTCATTTTACATGTAGAAATTAATTTATTTTAATTCAATCAATTTAATCACTTGATATTGGCAGAATTGTGCGCAGATAAGCCATTAATAAAAGATGAGTCTCGTCAGTGAGATGGACAGGAGAGAGAAACATATTATTTTTATAAGATTATTTTGAAACGGAATTTTAGATTATTACAGAGACAGATTATTAGATTATTTTAAAACAGAATTTTTCTTTTTTCGGTAAAGCAAAATAATATAAAAGAAATTATGAACATTTTTTATTTATATATAAAGTTTAAAATGAGAGTCTATTGAAATTAAAAAAAAAACCATCCGATGTAACAGAGATAAAGGATGGCATATACTACTGGCTTGAGATCCAGTAATTAGTCAAATAAATTCTAAATCCAGATAACACCTTGCAAAACCAAAAGACACAGTTAGTTCATTCTGTAAATATTAATTCAAATGGAGCAATTCACTTTTCGCCAGTTCTCCTCAGACGAGACTTGAAAGATTCGTCAATCGTGTTAGGTTCTGGGTGGCTCAGTGGTTAGAGCAGTCGCCCGGATTGCGAAGCGTTCGATTGCTATCTCGGGGTGCCAGGGACCAAGTGGATTTTTTAAGCGTTTTGTATTAAGAATATGAGACTCCCAAATTTTTAGAACTGGTGGTAGATTACGGTATCTAGACGTAAATAAAAAAGTCAAATGTATTTTTAAAATAATTATTTTTCATAAATATAAACGGTTTCATAAAGTAGAAACATTTTTTTATTGTGAATGTGTCCAATATTATCGTTTTGAAGGTACATGGAACCCGTAGAGGGTCTGAAATGTCAATAAGAATGCGATAAATGCGATAAAACGGTTTAAAAGTTATTTCATTTATAGATAGTCCGAGTGAAATAAACTCAATTAAATTCATTAAGGGATGCCATCTCTTAAAATATTGTATAACATTTTTTTTACATCAGATTGGTAAAAATATTTTACTAAATATTATCAATTCGGAATTAATTGAGTGTTGTTTTCACGTTGAAGATATTAATTAAAAATAATGTTTATTCACAGATCAACAGCAACTTAGCAACCGTATTGATACCGGGGTTTGGTATATTAGCTGTGTGCTTGTTCGTTCGACTGCTCGTCACTTGCATTACGTGCTGGGACTTCACTATACGAGAGAAAATTTTCATCTGTTGCACTTGGATACCAAAATCCATAGTTGTGGTAAACAGAATAATTTTATTTATAAACCACGAGCGTTACTTATTTATTTCAGAACCAAATGAATCTTCTTTATTAATTAAGCCAGGGACAAAGTGAATTTTTAAGCATTTTTCATTAATAATATTTTTCAGGATAGCACTGTGAATGCAAAATTAATCAAATATAATAATAATTAGAACAAATTTCCATCTTTATAGAAGAAACTTTAAATATTTCTAAAAAAAAATATTTCGGCTGTTTGTGTGGATCGCCTGAGCATTTATGAAAGTACGCTCTGCTGTAGCGAAAAGTGACAAGTGCTTAAAAGATTCGTCTGTCCTGTTAGGTCCTGGATAGCTCAGTGGTTAGAGCAATCGCCCGAATTGCGAAAGGTCAGGGACAAAATAGATCTTACATACCACAAATTTAGAAATTATCCGGTTCCATCCGATAAATCGGTTAAATATCACATAATCCGATATTTAGATATTCATTATAAATATCGTATTTTTGCGAACCCTGTTGTAGAATATACGTTATATACACTGTTCTTAAACATTCGTTTCAACACTCATGCATTCGCATGAATAACATAATAAAAGGAGAGTGAAACATTATAAATATAAGCGCGGAGTAAAGTGACATTTGGGTGTAGCCAAAACGGTCTCGAATTCGTCATGCTAAGCATGCAGTAAGTGCAACATGATGACGATAACATTTTGTTTACACCCAAATGTCACTTGGAAAAAAGTAATGCATTTCTCGAGTTTCTCATGCTAGGTTTGCAGGAGTACTCTTTTTTTCATATATTCATTACGTAGTACTAAAGCAGTATCTGAAAAATAAAACAAGTGTCGTATTTCAATACTTTAAAAGATGACTCACGCTATACATAAATTATATAAAATAAATTATGTTTGTAGTTTTATTTTTTCTCTCACTCTTAACCTCACGACAATGGGATCTACGGTGAGACGAAATTGCCCAGAAGGAACCTATTTACTCTTTCCTTAAACAGGTCTGAATCATATGCACTCGGGGATATAGACGTACTAGCAGTTAGAAGTAAAAAAGACGACTGACGAATAGTACTTCGGGCGGCATCTAGAAATATCTGCCAACTAAAATAAAATAAAACAAAAATGGTAATATATATTATCAAATTTTCTATTATAGGCAGTACTTTGCCCGCTGGTAATAGACACCGTCGTCACATCCAATCGCGGTAGCACAGAGAAACAATACGCCGAGAACATAATGCGTCTGTTGATACAGCTAATACTCATCACGACACCTCTAGGATTCCTGCTCACCAATCACCTTGGACCTTTGCTTTTGCGAAATCGTGAAAAGGACTCTGAGAAACCTGGTATAGTTAATATAATATTAGTAAACATCACATACATTGCTCAGATTCCAAATGATTAGATTAAGGAGTATCTAGGACAACGAAGGTACCACAACAGACCTGAGACAATATAGAAAAGTCCTTTTTCTACATTGACGCGACCGGGATTCGAACTCGCGGTCTCGGCGGAGCAATATATGTGATATAATTAATAAACAATACATTTTATTACAGAATTATTAATTTGTTTCTCTTTTCAGATTGGGCCTCTCCAAGAGACAAGTCGATAAATAGATCTCAAAATGAAGAAAGACCATGAAGTGCCATTGCCAATTACGTGATAGCTAGTCTATTATATTGTCGATTATTTAACTTTTATACAAATTGACTTAGAAATAAAACTTTAGCTAATTGAAGAAATGCCAAATTTTATTACTTACTCAAATTTAAGTTCAGGTTTCAATGTTTTCTTTCGTCATTTTATGCAAGATATTTTCTTAATTAACGTTTATAATACCTTCCTTTTTGTAATACTTAGAAATATTTGAATTTTATCATTGATATTATAGCTAAGAATACATTTATAGGTACTTATTAAATTAATATAATTAAGAAAGGCATTAGTGAAAGTCTAGACTTTGACCAACAATAAATCATTTTCTAATCATGCTTTATTTTATTTTGTATACTTAAGTACGATCTCTACCAACTGGGCGGCGGCATTACACATTCAAACTATGGTTACGGAAATTTAGACTCCTATACCAGTATTTTTCAATCTGTGGGTCGCGAACCCTAGACCCTTACTTGAAGGATTGCTGGCAAAAGAAAAAAGCCAAATTTCGATATCAGGATATTTAATTATTAGCTTATTATATAAAGCGAAAACTTCCCCAGCGCGTTTTATTTAAGAAAATTACGATGACGGCGAGACATGAACCTAAAAATAATATTGTTATTATTCTAAGGCATGAACTTTGATATAATGGGAGTTGGGCGTTTGTATAGATTTACTGGATACAGCTGGCGCAATGTCGTCCGTCGTGGCGTTCAAAGGAGGAGGCCTATGTTCAGCAGTGGACGTCTTCCGGCTGATGATGATGATGATAGATTTACTACATATGTTACCGGCAATCTGAATAATCCGGTATTCTATAAAATACCTAGCGAATGTATGAACTATTATTCATTTTCATTTTCTCTAGGTATTTTAAAGTATACCTGCGCAGTAGGTGTATGTAAATGTAAATTACGGGAGCAAGGAATGGATGGACGTGCGAACAGGCAGGCAATAAAAGTGTTGCGACACTACGATTATTTAATAATGTAGATACATAAACAATAGAATTTAAATTTATAAATTCAATATATCAACTGTTTTTATAGGTCATATAATTTCTGTAATCTATAAAAGAATCTTAATTTCGAATGTATCCCGTGACATACAGGTAAAATAATTTCCAAGTTTCAATTATGTATAATATTCATTATAATACAGTTGATTTTAGGTAATAGAAATTCACTTGCCCATCATTAATAGTAAAAGCAATTATCATTGATAAATATAGACCAAGATCTATGTATTTATTTTACACATTGCCGGTGGAACTGTAAAAAAATGTATTCATCACCTATAAAAACTATATAATAATAATTATAATTTTATATATTAACTGAATATTAAACTAATAACTTAGATAATCTTTGATAAGAAAGCCTTCGTAGCGTTCAAGTTTTATGGTCGACAGTTTTCGAGTCAGTTAATTTCTAATGCAAAAAATAATTCTCAAATATAGAAAGTAAATAATTTCTTTTTTTAATCTTTGGAAAATATTACCAAAATTTTCAATAAATTACAATTATCACGACATCTACCGGAATTAAATCGAAAGACTACTCCTGAAAGCGTCCATTCTTGCACTTCTATATCACTCTAGCGGACTTTTCATGTACTATGAATTTATTGCAAAAATCAGAATTTCCCCTGAATGCGGTTAGATGGCAATTTTTTTTAATATATAATGTTTGAATAATAAAGACATTACAGTCTATTAACACTTGTTCCCGTTTATCCAGTTATTTTAAATTAAACATATGAATTTATTCATTAATAAACTCTCTGATTAGATTATATAAATTAGAATTACTTACTGTTCAATGATGATGAGTCTATCTTCGATTCTTAGTTTCTTCCTATTTGGAGGGGAGTACTATAAAAATTTCATGGTGATCAAATTAATACATACTTTTAGTTTGTAAACCTCGTTTGTAATTAAAAAAATTGAAATGGTTAATTTTTCAAAAATATAGACCTCCTTCAATAAAGCAAACGAAAACAAAGGCTAATAACCAATTAAAAAATTCATAGGTTAATTAAAATCAAGTTACAATATAAAAAAAATCTATTTCTTGTGTAAAAATTAAAAAGATAAAGATGCTATGATTGTCTCAATATGGATTACGGTTCTTCTGAAACCTGAGGAAAACATAAAGTATTTTAGGTGTACCAGAATCTGATGGCAAATCTGGAAATTTAAATTTCTAGAAGGCAACATTAGGGAAAACGGATAAAGTTATCTCGATACTTATAATATTTTAATATTATTAATTTTTTTTTCATAACTGCCTCATAGTGTTGAACATACACCTGACCAAATTCCGATCACTACAAATTTTGACATAGATTAGCCATACATTAGCTATCTGTGTAAGACATAATATAGTACACGTACACAAACATACGTTACACTTGTACACTCTATATTAGAAACATCTAATTTACAGCACCCGACCCGACTCAGGTAAATTAGATGTTCGGGTCACCCAACTGAAAAACCCAATAATATTTTACCTGACTCGGAATCTAACACGAATAAATAAAAGAAGCCCTGTTTTATGTATTTGTTTATTACTAATCTCTACTAATATTGCCACTGTCGGTTACGCTTACGTATGTAAATCAAATCCGCTTTAGGTATTTAATATTATTCTTTTTACTGTTCCTATATTTCCCCGGCGTAGAAAAATGTCTTCATTTCTCCATCATTAATAATTCGTTTTATTTTGGTGGTTGACACTCCAAAGAATATTTATTATTTCTTTAGAAAAGTATCAAGACTCATTAATTACTAGTTACCGGTCAATTCATAAACACACTTTAAGATTAAAAAAAAATCGTTAATCGCTAGCTTCTATTCACAAATTTTGCTATAAACATTAAAAACAATAAATATTTTTTAATTATCAAGCTTGAGACATCAATGGCTTTGTTGGGAATTTTCACAAATATTCACATCAATTTACATTTTGACATGACAGTTGCCACTAGTTAACGTTGCCAATATGAAAAACGAGATTTTTTTTTTTGCGTGCCATCAGATTCTGGTACACCCATGAACTTAGTAGTCATAACAGGACTTATAACTCCGTAAAATTATAAGTAAAAAAATGAACCTTATCACTAATAATTAAAGTATACCTACTTTTAATTGATCATTGTACAGAAGCTAACCCGAGCCGAGAAAGATAGGTCACAACAGAGGCCTTGTGTCTCGTTCTTTAAAATATCGTTCATTAAAAAGTTTATTTTTGCAGGAAACGAATAGATCAAATATAGTCATTTCCGTTCCTTTTTAATATTAAAAAACTGAAATTTGCAAAGTTCGAACCTTAGATATCAATACAAATACGAAAAATTACAAATAGAATATGAATGGTTTTTTGAGTTTTGAAAATTAATTCACATTAAAGAACACCAGAAGGGTTGTCAAAGAGAAATCAAGAATGTACTGTAAGGACATCCGGTTCGATTTTAGTAACTAATGTATTTTATTTAATACTTCCTAATTACGTAAGTATTAAAATTTATCAAGGCTATTTGTTCACTTATTTTCTACTGGCATTCCTTTCAAGTTACATGGCAGTGACTAGTAATTGATATTTTTATTTCAATAGTTTTATATACATTCCAATAGTTAAAATGGGGAAAAGTGTTGCGTTTATGTTTGGTCCAGTAAATCTTGTTGTGGTAGCAATACGTTTTTTCACGATTAAGACAAAATCAACAACATTGTAAATCGGACAACTATGTTTACCATGAAGTCTTTTAATACGTGGATGAGTATGTATGTGATCATAGCAAATTATTAATACAAATTTCCAAAAAATGAAGAAATGTGGCAAAAATGTCTCAACAGTTGGGGGCAGATACGTGAAGCTGAAAATTCAGTTTTATGCAGTCATTGTGAAAGCGTTTCAACAAACGAAATTAAAATTAATTCGTATATATATTATAAACTAATATTCATTTATTTATATCATATCCAACACAAAATATATGAAATAAATCTACGAATTACTGGGACATCGTGGTCGTCCTAAATAACTACACCATCGAGCTTTTTACTTATTTCTATATCAGGGATAGTGCGATATCTCTGTGTCAGATTGAAAATTATTTGATGATTTGGTAATTTTATTTTATTTCATAAAATATTAGTATACTCGTGCATATGAGAATGCGCAAAAGTTAATCGAGCCGATCGAGCCCTCATACAAGTGAAGCGATATCGCATACTATAGATACGTACATGCAATTCGTTGTATAGGAGATTTGTGACCGATATTGACAGATTGTATAATCTAATAAGTGAACAAACACTTGCGATTCTCCATACATATTATAAGGGCGTGCGATTCGTGCGATAATATTTGTCGATATCGAATTGCATTAAAAGCCTATAAAAAAGTTTAACAAGATTATTGTGTAATAGCCGCAGTAGTTAAAAATATAAAAAGTCTCACTTAATCAAAATGTTATTGTCGCCATATTACAGAGGGACAAATATCCTCTATACTTGATATCTAGCTTGACTCGCTTTTCAGCTGGGAGTACTTTGTCCTGCTATAAGTACTAAGTTCATTGGTATACCTATATTACACATACCTGTATTAACTCGTCAGCTACAAATCTATAGCAACATTGATTAACACGTTTATACATTCATAACTTTTAGTGATGGGCCGATTAGTATTTTCTGACAGCCGCATTATCGGTTTTGAAATAACTTAATAAGCTGATCATTGTCAAAGTCGCTTTTTAAAAAATATACGAACAATACAAATACAGGATAATAAGAAATACATATTAAAAGGTACCCTTATAACGAATTACACGGGGTTTTTTATCTTATTTTCCTGTTAGGTAGGACCAGAGACACATTCAAAATCAAAATAAGCTGAAAAATATCGCTATTTTCTTAGTTATAGCTGAAGAATCAATTGTTGATTGATGAAAAAAACGTATTTTCTGTGAATGTATATACTAATTTTATCAAAAACATGTGTTTTGAACAAATTACTAAATTAACTTCCTTGGTTCATTAGCTATTCAAAAAATAAACATTGCGAAACTGCGATAAATTAAAAGGACAATTTTTTTTAATAAAATTAATACTTGTAGCAATTTACTAAGAAATTCATTTAGCAACTTACAACTTGGATCATTTATTATTGAATAACATGAAATGACATTACTTTAATTTTTGCTCAACATGTGAACCCCGTTTTGATTCCCGTATGAACAGAATAAGACTTCGGACTTCTTATTCTGACATCCGTTTTTGTCACTCTTTCTTATCAAACATAGTCGAGTTTCTGGTGCTGCC